AAGGTGATCAGAGGGCTGGAGTGCCTCAGCTATGAGGACAGGCTGAGAGAACTGGGGTTCTTCAGCCTACGGAAGAGAGGCTCTAAGGAGATCTTATAGTGCTTCCAGTACTTGAAGGGGGGCCTACAGGAAAGCTGGGAAGGGACTTTTTATAAGGGCATGTAGCAACAGGATGAGGGGAATTGGTTCTAAATTGGAAGAGGTTAGATTTAGACTAGAAATCAAGAAGAAATTCTTTACTGCGAGGGTGGTTGGAGACTGGAACAGTCTGCCCAGAGAGGTTGTGGATGCCCTCTCCCTGGAAACATTCAAGGCCGGGCTGGATGGAGCTTTGAGCAGTTTGGTCTTGAGGGAGGTATCCCTCCCAGTAGCAGAGGGGTTGGAACTAGAAGATCTTAAAGGTCCCTTCCAACCCAAAACAGTCTATGATTCTAGAGTCCAACATCAGGTGTCATTTCCATGCTGCTCTCTTGCACTGTTTTTGTCTGATGGCTACTAATAACGTGCAGAATGATAAGATCAATTTTCTATTAAAAATTCAAAAATGTTCAGCAATTAATTATGGCTTTAGTTTACTGTTGTTATAGGCTATGATACAAAGAGGAAGTAAGGAAATAACTAGTGCTGAGTGAGGCTGGGTACAAATAACCAGTTCAGGAAACTGGTTTTGTTGTCTGCTTGTAGGATTATCCTGCTGCTGGCTTGTTTTAATAGAAAAGGTGTTGTTTTTGTTTTTTTCTTCCATGAAATGAATTACTAGGTCTACTTTTCTTCATTAGGGAAATACTTGAAATTGCTAACTCATTTCCTCTTGCTAAATTTCCCAATCTATATTTTATTTTCTTTGTTCTCTCCCTGAAAAATGTTCTATTTTTAATACATAATTGCCTGTATTCTCCTTCCAGAGTTTCCAATTTATTGTGCAAATACAACTTTTAGAAAACGTAATTAGACAATTACAGATTAATTTCATAAGCTATTCCTCTATAAATGCTCATAACATCAGAATTAAAGTCAACTTTATGAACACACTGTTTGATGATGAATTTCCTCACTACTGATTTTTGGAGCAGAAAAAAAGAAGCACTTTAATTTCATTCAAAAGTACGCATAGTCTGCAATTTTAGCAATAATTGGGCAATAATTAATTTTTTTAAAAAATCATACACCAGTTCCTCTTTTTTTCACTGACAAAATTAAGCATCTATAAAGTCTTAACTTCATATTCCTGATGGCTTCAGAGTTCCTTCATTGATGTGTTGCCTCAATGGAAATCTGACAATTTCATTTCAATACTTAGAATACTTGAACAGTTGCCTGTTCTTAGACATGCAGTCTAATTGTCTTCAATTAGCAACAATTCATAACATCTATTTCCAAATATTTGAAGATTAATGTCCTTGAATTTTATTTTATTTTTCTGGTCAAAGCCCATTATTTAACTTTTAAAGTAAATGCAGTGATAAGTTAAGTGTTGTGTGAGCTATTCAGAAAGAGCAGTCAGGCTGCCCAGGGAGGTGGTAAAGTCACTGTCCCTGGAGGTGTTCAAGAAACACATGAATATGACACTGAGGGGACATGGTTAGTGGGCATGGTGGGGATGGGTGGATGACTGGATTAGGTAATCTTAGGCTCTTTTCCAACCTTAATAATTCCATGATTTTAATGCTATATAATATTCAGTGGATGCAAGGACTGGGAGAAAGTGACCAAAACTAAAGCTGTTGAAATCTAACTGCCGTCTGTCTGCATGCTCTATAGTAATTTGCTCTGGTGATATCTTTCTTACAGAGAAACTAAAGGTTTCTCTACAGTGTAGCGTTGTGCAGCAGCAGAGTTCATCACTGGATGACAGCAGTTTTTTTCACTGCTTTGTTTCAAGTACAGCCTTATAAATGGTAAAACTGCATTCATTATTGTCTGCGGTTTGGATGGAATTGAAAAAATTACTTGAAAGAAAAACATTCTTGCATATAAATTTGACAGAAGCTCTTATTCCTAACCTAAATTAAGGAGCATATGTAAGCATGGGACTCTCAAAGTTAATTTTCCCTTCACAAATGAGATTGCATCATCATTGAATCATGGTGCCTTATTTCAGTGTGAGATAACTTTGTTTCATGGGTTTTTTTTTTTTTCAGTGTTATTTTCACATATGCATTTGGCTAGTATCCCAGCTAGCAGTTTGAATGCATCTTGGAGCATAAAGGAGCTCACACAGTTACATCATACTTCCTAGGTTGTGAGAGCACACCTAGCATATTTGAAGTCCTTACTTGTTAAGGGAGAGCAGTTGTTGAGAAACAGCCTTGTGACATTTGGACTGTATTTCAGAGTGACTTATGGAATGGATGTCTAGTAAGAATTTGACAAGTAATGAACACCAAAAGTGTAAAGAAGGCTTAATCTTCAGCTGTGCTGAGCTTTCATGAGCGATGTATGTACACAGCACACATGAGAACACTTATTCTAATACTACACTAATTGTAGTGAGAGGAGTATGAAAATATTCAATGTGTCATCAGAAAATTTACCTCATAAAAACAGTAAGAAAATATTTTCTTTACAATCACAGTAAAATGGCAGCTCAGCACTGAGGATTGCTTCAGGTAAAAAATAATTTATTTCCCCATAATAATAAGTATTCCCTTCAAATCAACCTTCAAACGAAGGTTGACAACAATAAATTCTCGTAGTTGGTACAAAAAATCTTGGAAAATCTGCTGCTGTGAAAGCTGCACTTCTCAATAGAATAGACATGCTTCTTATTTCATCTATGTTCAGTAGTTGAGCCAAACTGTACTTACAGAGGAGTAAATGGAAATTATTCTTATTTCCCAAAAGTACCTGGAAAGTAAGGAGGGGAGAATGGGAAGGAAAAAAAGAATCCAAAACTTTGTATTTAAACATCAGCTACTTAATTAATTTACTGTTGCTTCTTAAATAGTAATGGGCATGTTGTCTGCTTTCTCCCTGCTTATTTTTTTCATATGTTAATATGTTTCTGCTTCATTTCATTTCTAAACATTTTAATTTTCTTCAGTTGGTGGAACATATTGTGAAACAGGTAGAATGAACCAAACCCCTTAAACAGATCTGTCAGAATGAAGACTCTTAAGTATCTATTCTTACCAATAAAGCATTTATTTATAACTGGCAAATTTGTGAAACAATCCTGTGATTTCATTTCCACAGTAATGCATATTCAAAAATATGAAGACTGGAAAAATCACTGTTCTTCAGTGTACCAAAAGATCTTAAGCTGCTCAGGCCAACTTTATTCTAGTTTTTTCTAGTCACGTTGTAAATTTGCAGTGATTTTTGTAGCAGAAAACTGACAACATTTTGATTTAAATATTTCACAGTTAATAACTTTGGATGAGAAAAAGTTGACTTTAAAGATGAATCCTGAGGTTTAATCTCTAACCTCAGATTTTTATTTGTTTTCACGGTTTTAGATATTCAGAAAAGTAGAGATGATTGTAGCTATTCCTACTGGGAATCAACAGCTATGATGGTCTCTGTCTTTGTGCTGATTACCAAGTTATTAGGAGTCAGTAGCTAGGGTAAAATATCCACAGATGCTGCTTCCCAACCTGTAATACTAGTTTTCTTCAACAGAGAGAGTTGGCAATAACCAGCCTTTAAATAATGTTTTGTTTGCGGAATAATCTTAAAGGAGGGCTATTGTCCTGTATGGCTACTTGATTACAAAAATAGGTCTTGGAAATGTTTGTTCTACTTTGGGCACTATTGTTTATTTCTTTGCTGCAAGATCACTTCTTACCCTTTCTGAATGGTCTCCTTTATTCTTGTTTGGTTTTTTTTTTCCTTTAAAAAGATGAAGAAGGCTTGTACATTGGCTTCCATTGTAAGCTACTTCTTCACACAGAAGCATACTCTATATGGAAGAACTGTTTCTACTTTTTTTCCTGTATAGCTCTCTACATTTGTTTATCTGTGGTATTTAAAAAATAATAATAATTTATTTAAAGACTAATTTTTAAGTAGTTTGGATAATCTCAACATATCCAAATTCTGACTTTGACAGAAATTTCCAGAATCTCCTATGATTGGATTTTTAGGCATGTAGTCATTTTTCTATAAAAGATTTCAGAAATTCACTTTTTTGTGCTAAATAAGAGCCAGTGATTTGCGTGATTTAGAGTGAAAACTGATTGCAGTGGAATGGCATGCAGATTATTTTGAGTGTTGGCATCTCAACTTTGTCATCAAAAATAGCCAGATATTGCCAAGACTTTGACTGTCACCTGAACCATGAACTTGATTGCTGAGCTGGATACATATTCTGGCTACAGAATTTGGTGGACCACTAGAAAAATCTCACATATTACATGTCGGATCTGTATATTTTCTCTCTGAATTTGCTGTGACATGGACATGGCAGCAACCGCTGTCATTTTAAAGACCGCAAAAAAATTTCAATAAATATGTATGGATGGATGGCAAAATCTCTCTGAATGGCAAATGTACCTTAAAATAATGTTTTGGAGATTTAAAGTGAAACTGTTGTAAAACAATAGCTATTAGGAATGTTATAGATGCTCCCTAAAAGACTATTCTAATGAATTGCATTTAGAAAACTTAAAATTCTTCTTAAGGTGTTGGCTCTGAGTACTACTTACCGTTTTGTTATAATATGGTAGTTGTTACATGAGCTTAATAGTCACCTCACTTTGAAAGCAGTCATGAATTTTGCTGTAGATTTCACTATGTGGTTACAGGAATGGTATGGTTAGGATTTGGAGATAGGGAAAATTATGGTATGTATTTGCCTTGCCAAATGCTCTTGGTTGGAGGCAGAAATATATTCTGTAACACATTTGTAATTTGTACTTTTGTTCTTGACCACTCACTTGCAATTCTTCTGCACTCTGAGTAGCAGCAGAACTCTGTATTTCAAGTATGAATTTTATATAACACTAAGATGCATTTTTCATTCTGATCTTTATTTGCTGTGTTCCCCCCTCCCCTTTTAGGAGGATACAGATCATAATTATTATACTTCAAGGACATATGGCCCATATGATTCCACCAGCCGGGATTTATGGGTCAATATAGACCAAATGGAGAAAGACAAAGTAAAGATTCATGGGATCCTCTCCAATACCCATCGACAAGCAGCAGTAAGTTGTAATACTCTTTTTTACTGACATGGATGTCTTTCAGCTGTAAGTGATAAAGCAGTTCTAAGTATCAAAATACTCCTGTTTAGAACTTCATTTTTGAATTTTAGTTAAAATTCTGAACAGTGTTGCTATCAAAAGATTTCAAGTTGCATTTTTGTACTTGATGTAAAAGTCCTTCAGAAACGCCTTTAAGATAAAGCAATACATATATAAATATAAGGTTAGATCTCGAACTATCTAACAGTAATCTAGTTACATTGCTGAAGTCAGAGATGTTACTGTTATTTTCATAAGAGACAGAACTGGGCTGAGAAATAAATTGCTGAAATTTTACATCTTCCATTGAATGTATTTGTGTTGACATTTCCATTTTGTATGACATGTTTCACTAACTTTTTCTACTATGAGAATTTATAAAAATCATTCATATGACAGATAGAAACAGAAGCAATACATGTGATCCATGCCAATAACAAATAAATATGAAAAAGAGTGTATCATTTGTTGCTGTTTTTGGGAGTTGTTTTTTGTTTGTCTGTTTGCTTGTTTCAAGATGTAGTGGTATTAAACTGAGCAGAAACAGGAATTTAATTTGATTTTTTTCTCAGCTTTGAAACTGTTATCTGTTATATCCCTGGTGCCAGCCAGGTGACTGTCTCAGGGGGATGTAAGTGACAGCAAGAAGAAATACCCCAGTATTTAATTCTGAACACAAAAAAGCAGACTAGGTTAGCATTTGTGTAACAGAGGGCCCAAATCATAAAATTTCCTCACAGTATAAAAGACTGGAAGAAGCTAGGGATAATACAAATGAAGAGCTTAGGCAATTATGTATCTTTGGAGTAGATTTAATAACACACTAACTCAGGTATTTTCTAAGACAGTTTGTTTTTAAAGGGTGGTGACTGAACAGAGAAAGGTACCAAAAAGTGTCCCAAGACCTTGCTTTTTGTCACCTGGGATTCTGGTACTTGAGAGAGAGAATGGAAACATGCAAAAAAAAAAAACCAAAAAAAAACACTAATACAGGAGTTAAAAAATACCTGTTCGAGCTTAAATATATATATATTAATTATCAGGCCTGGGACCTAAATTTTAACTTGTTTTAATAATTACTGAAGATAACTCCCTCCGCACTCTCTTTCTAAGCATTTTTGTTTCCACTTGGTTCATGAGATTCCTTGCTTCAGAATGTTAATTCCAAGAAGGATCTTTTGTTCAACTATCATTCTAGAGGTTTAAAACAAGGTAATGCTTCTGGGCAGGATGTGGGATTGATGTGGAGCATGGTAGAGGGGAACCTAGTACCTCAGACTCCTGAGCATGAGGGCTTTGATTTACTCTCCCAACAGCAAGTAGCTGTTAAATATTAATCTTTAAAATATTCCTCAAATCTTGTTAGTTCTTTAATACTCTATTACATTATTTAATTGTCTATACTAAGTACCTATTATGTTGTTAAAATTTAAGGCATTAGTTTTTGATTGAAATCAATGGGAGATCTATATCTGATTTGAGTGGGCATAGGCTCAAGTCTTTATCTATTACAAACATTATCATTATGCTAATATCTTTATTACAGCCATTTAGAGGACTGTGAAAGACAGCTGTGCTCCCTTAAAAGCATTTTAATGTTTATTGTGTTATTCAGAGGGTTAATGCTAAGAGAAGAAAAGGGATAATACTGTTTAAAGGATAGAGAGAAGTTCTGGTCATTTTTAACATGATTGTGGAAATTATGTAAGGAAAAGCAAGGACATAATCTGAGTGGGACATGTAAATGAACATAGCATACAACTTCCCAGCAATGAAAACTACAGAATGTGTTTTAATTTCAATTTTTTTTTGTTTGTTTTCATTTGTGTATACCATTGTGATTAAACGTTTGGTTATGTATACATATTTACATACATACAATAGATGTCATTAAAAACTACTCATTCCAGTTAACACAATGCAAATTAATTCTGTATTCTTATTTTTAAAAAAGAGGCTAATCTTGTCAAAATACTATCTTCCATTTAAGTGGAAAGAAAATCTGGTTTAAAGTTGCTGCAAATCTTCAGCTGTTAATTTCTACTAAATAATTCTGTAAATGTTTCTGGTAGATGTAAATATAATTCTTACTGCGATAATATATACTCAATTATTATTATTAAAAAAAAAAAAACCTAAGATAGTAGTTACTTTGTCTTGTTTTTTGTTTTTTTTTTGTGTGTGTGTGTGTGTGTGTTTTCTTTAATTTTAATAAATTATCGACTATTTCCCTTTCTTAAGTGAAGACATGAAAGCTTCGGGATGAGGGACAGTCAATAACAATGCTTTTTCACAGCACTTTTTCTGTAGTAACTCCTTTTAAATGCCAAATAGTAAAGAGCCACAGGCCATTATGCAAGTGGTATCTTTCTATGGGAGATAATATTTAAGCCATGAAAACACCTTAGTAGAAGTTCAGCAGTTCTTTCTGTCAGGACTACTGGTATGCTCATAGTTGAAGCACATAGAACACCAAGTGATAATTGAGTGGCTACAGAAGCTAACAAGTTTTGGGAGAGCAGTAGAATAGATGAGAAAGGAGAAAGCGGAGAGGGAAAATAAGTGTGAATTTGAATGGTACTTTATGAAGACCTTAGGTGAGGATAAATCTGTTCTCTAGATCTCTAAATCACAGTTCTCTGCTATGATGTCAGCTGATATAGGATAGATTGACAGAGGAATGAAGTTCCTTTCCCCTCTCCCCCTTCTTTTTTTTATTATTTTGCAGTAAGTTTGCTAGTACTGTTGTTGCTTTGTTTCTTTATAAATAATTTCAGGTCCTTGTTAGTAAGCAGGTCTGCAAAGTTGATGAAGAAACTCTTTTCCACTTTTCATCAGATAAGCAACCAGGTAGCAGCAGGGTGTCAGGGAGAGTGTCTGAATCTGAAGGAGCATGTGGCTGAGGAGTAAACCACCTGCTGCCAAAGGGATCAGGCATCCTGCAAGACTTGTATAGCAATGGCTCTTCTTAGCAAAGAGGTTTAAAAACAATTTTAAAATCAACGCATCTTTCTAATTTCATTCTCATGATGTAGTTATTATGTCTGTTTTATTTTCTAAAGTCTTCAGTTTTGAATGTTCGCTGCTTTCAGGTTTTTAAGTGCCAGAATTGTTCCTAGTTAGCTATTGTCAATTTCAAATTTAGAATAATGAGGCTTCAGTAAAAAATCAAAAGCAATGATTGAAATAGGTATTTGAAGTGGAGGACTCTTCATTTTGTTTTCTGCACAATATTGATTTTATTTTCTGGTGTTATTCCTTTCAGAGAGTGAATCTGTCCTTTGATTTTCCATTTTATGGCCATTTTCTACGTGAGATTACAGTAGCAACTGGGGGTAAGTGGCTTTCTAACCATTTACTTTGAGTAATTTGAGAAGAGTTTCTTGCAGTTATTTAAAATCCCTTTTTTTCTCCTACATATGTCAAGAGAAACTGCAGCATTTATTTCTTGTTTTCCAGAAGAAGAAAATAGCAAAATATCAGTATAATGGAAAACCTCAAGCTACTCAAGTTTAACTGTTATAAAACCTTCTCAGTAGAAGACTATAGTATTAATGGCTTTCTATTTAAGTATTCCAGTTGTGTGTCTGTGTCTGTAGCATTTGCACTTGTAGAGATAGTGCTGGAACCAAGACAAGTAGGGAAAACTTAGTGTGTTAGGACTGCATGAGACAGAGGATTTTCTATGTGATAAAGAGAAATGCTGATGGAAGTACGTAGCTTGTCCTTTATCAGACAAGCTTGCTGTTGGGTGTGGCTGTGGTACTGTGTAGTGTCTACTGCAATACCACGGTAGGTAAGAGGTATGATGCAGCCTAACCTCCTAGTCCTGTAGCTCTGTATGCCACTGGTGGCTCATGGCTGGGGTCTTGTCTTCCACCACCTCTGGCTGCTGTTTGTGCAGATCTCCTACTGTACGGACAGCCTCAGCACTTTCTTAATGCAATTCCCCTCCTGCCCACACTCCTTGAAGGAGTATGGAGATGGAAGAGGAGACCAGAGGAAAATTAAATAATATGGAAGAAATCAAATAAGCAAATAGAGGAGTAAAGATCAGAAGGTAGAAAAAAGAGAGGCAGAAGGAAGTATTGCAGCGAATCACAGCATCCTCTCATCTCTAACATGTTCAGCAGGTTCACAAATTCTAGCTGATGGAGCTCTGCTGAGAGATACAAGAGGACAAGAAACAAATATAGAAGTTCCTGTTGCCAGAACTAATCCTAGTCCCTGGTTAAGTTTTCTCCTTCTGATGTTGTGTGTAATCAAACATGTGTCACTGGAGCTCTGAGCAGGGAAGGTACACCTAAAAATTTCAGTGGGGGGGGAACAGAAACCAGGGCTTCAACAAGAGTAGGAGGAGTGCAGGTTGCTGACTGACACTGTGTTAAGGTCTCCATTTTTGTTTCTAAAGTAGAAGAATAGAATAGGTGAACAGAGTTGAAAAAAGTCCAATATTAAATGGTCAATTTGCAGTCAAAAATTTAAAAAAAAAAAAAAAAAAAAAAAAAAAAAGATGCAGAATTATAGGTTGACTTCAGTATCAAGGCATTTTCTTCTTGGCCAGCAGTGTTCTTGATGCTGAGATAGATCAGATGAGCTATAAACAACTGATTGTAATGCTGGGGATTACCTAAATACCATTCTACACTTCTCATGTTTTGGCACTTGATCAATGACATGTAGTTCCATATCCTGTACTAGAGGAGTTCAATTTCTTGTGGTGTGAAAGAATGCAGTGGATGGGTGCTGCACAACTAAAGCAGCAGCAGTAGGAAGAATGTTCATTCTGTAAATGTTCCCTAATTCTTACTGCTGAATTTGATTCATGGAAGCATTTGAAGTTCACTCTTCAAGTAATTTCTCTATTACCAGTCTTAACTTTTAATAGAAGTCCTGAATCTTTACCACTTGTGTCATTAAAATGCTACATTCATCAGGTCTACCAACTGCTCCCAAAGACCTGAGAGTAAAATGGAGCTCCCAAGAAGAAATGTGTAATAGTAATTTGTGAGGAAAAAAATTTCGTGTAGAGAATTTCAAAATAAATAAAGAAATAAATACTTGCAGGCATATGTGCTTAACTGAAGTTTGCAACACTCCTTTCTGTTGCTATTAAAGGTAATGGAACTCTGAATGATCGTTCTGCTTTTTGTTTTTCTCCGCTTCTACTAAGTGTGATAGTACTGCAGTGAATAGATTATGGATTAATGTGATGCCAACTAGGACTTTAATATCAGCCCCTTTATTAAAGGCTGTTGACATTAGCACAGAGATACTGCTGTTTCTCATGTGTCACTCATTATTTTAAAAACTCAAAATTACATATGAAAAGCAAAGAACTTTAATGTTCACTCTTGATAAAGCTCTGTAACTGTAAGTCATCCTGTCCTTTCACAACAGGATGCAATTTAGGCAACTTTAAGACTTTAAAGAAACTTGGAGGAAAAGACAGACCTACATCAGTCAGAACTCTCTGATAAATGTTCTGCTTTTGTTCTATTTGAAATTTTTGTTACAATAAGTTTTTTGTGATTCAGCATGTCTTATATCAGAGTCACAGAATGGCTAGGTAGGAAAAAATCTCTGGGTCTATCTGTTCCAACCCCTGCTCAGGCAGACACCCAGAGCAGGTCACCGTCCAGGTGACTTTGCAAGATCTTCAAGGAGGAGGCTCCACAACCTCTCTGGGCAACCCAGGCTCAGGCACTCTCTCAGTACAGAAGTACTTCCTGATGTTTAGAGACAGAACCTCCTGTGTTCCAGTTTTTGCCCATTGCCTCTTGTCCGGGCACCATTGAAAAGAGCCTGGCTCCATCCTCTTTGTACCCTCCCTTCAGGTACTTATATGCATTGATTATATGCCTGAGACTCCTCCAGTCCAATTTTCTCCCCCTCTCCTGATAGGAAATGTGCTTCCTTGATCATTTTGGTGGCCTTATGTAAGGCAATCTTGATTATGTCCATGTCTCCCTTGTATTGGGATTTCCAGAACTGAAGACAGTACCCAGGGACAGCTTCACCAATGGAGTAGAGGGGAAGTATCACCTCTTTTGACCTGCCTTTCTTGGCTGGCTTTTGGCTAATGCGGTCAAGAGTACCATTCGCCTTTGTAAAGGTGAATGCACCTTGCTGACTCGCATTCAGCTTAATGTCCACCAGGACCCCCAGGTACCTTTCTGCAGAGCCACTTTCCAGCTGGGTGGCTACCAACAAGTGCTAGTGCCTGGAGCTGTTCCTGTCTAGGTACAAGACTGTTCATTTCTCCTTGTTGAATTTCATGGGATTTTTGTTTGCCCCACCTTTCCAGGCTGCTGTACCTTAAAAGTAAATGGTAAGGATAGCCTCCAAGTGCTTTTTAAACTGTATAGTCTACTGTTTCTTAGCAGCTAACATTTTTACAGTGGCATTTCCATTATTGGAGTTTTGGAAGACTTTCAGAGGTTATTATGGAGTAAAAAAGAGTGACAAAGTTAACATGTACAGATCCCATATGTTAGATGTATGCTTCTTGGAGAACAAGATGGGATTAATTATGTTAATGATAACACTTCAAACTGTTTTTATCTCCAGCCACGAATTAAATAACCTTGTTAAGAGGAAAATTGAGGACAATGGCACATTAAATCCCTGATGCAATAGAAGTGGTTTCTTCAATTCTTCATGTAGGTTGCATAGTGGTGTAGTTTCCAAGTTACTTAAGATGACTTTGAAATTGTTGAGGTGTATACTCAACTTTTTTTTCTGTTTAATGAATACTTACTAAGAACAGGGATTAAAAATAGTTAATTTCAGCACTCCATTCACTGTTGTCATCAGCGTATCTTTAGCAGGGCTATTTGCTTCATAATTAGAAGTTAAGACAGTTTGTAGTATTCTTATTAATTTAATTAGTGATTTGTGGTTCCTTGGGATCTGGACATCTCCCCAGGTTTTCATATACTCTGTTTTTAAAACATCCTCTTGTTCTCTTGTGACTTTCATTTGTAACAATGGAAATGCAATAGTGGATTTGTCATTAAAAAGAAAGCCATGTGTAATTACCTAAGAATCAGAGTTTTTCTCATAAGTAGCTATCAGCTTGTTCTGTTTTTTGTTTTTTTTTTTTGTTTTGTTTATTCTTTTAAGATTTCCAGAGCTGTTTCTGCTAAATTTTCTGTCTTTAGGGAGCTTTTCTAGACTGATCCATAGAATTCTGTCATGACTTGAAATTTCTGACACTTAAATCGTTTGTTTTGATCCATCTGTCACATTTTATTCCCAAACAAAATGAGTTTTGCAAAATAGAAGTCAATGCAAGTATTAACATGTTGATTATTACTGTATGCATGGTTGAATGGTTCTCTAGCAAATTCATCTCAGTTAATTATGATATTGTTATCAAAATGAATTGAAAGAAATTGTTACTTCTTGAATGTGAGTTCCTAAAATTTTAAGTGTAATTACTTTCAGCAAATAAAAAATGGAAATTAGATCTGTGAGCTAAATCCTGAAGTTAATTTTTCCACTTAACCTTAACTTGGCCAAGTAACTATTAATTTCCAAGTTGAAATTGCAGTGAAACATTGAAGCTTAGTTTGCTCTGGTATGTGAATGTATGGATTCCAACAAGATGAACTGTACCAGAATGAGAGGCTTTTAATGGTCAGAGGGCAGAATAAGTGTGAAGTTCACCTTTGGAGTTGCAGCAGTGTATTAAGGAGCCAGGAACCCCATGAACTGAATGGGATGAAATATACTTACAAATCATGTACTATCAGGAAGTAAACATTAACATAAAAGCAGTTGATTACTATTTAGTGAAGGTAAGTAAAAGGGCTAAGTGACACCATTATTACCTTGTGAAAGTTTAGCTGATGATGGGTTGATCACAGATAGTTGTGGAAGGGACACTTAAAGTGCATAGGGTCTGAAATAAGTCTGCCATGAGCTATGTCATAGTCTGCAAATTTACAAGTCAAATGAATAAATTATATACAAAGGAAACAAATCTTCTAGCTGTATTGACTTCTATATCCATGTTGATCTACCTAAACTCATGTACAGCCAGGAGAGACATAATATAGTCAGCAGCCTATGAATACCAAAGGCAGACACTTCAAGGAGGTTGGTTGAGTTACATCCTGTGTTCAATTCTCTCTGTTTTGTTTACTCTCTCTCTTTTATATGTATGTATGCATGCATGTGTCTGTATATGCTGCTCTGAAATTAGTGCCTCCTATTTATTATGTTGCCCCCACAACCTCAGAGGCAGGTGTTGGTGGTATGGCAGTAGAGAATGAACCTTTCTGACAGTTTTCCATTACATTCTGTTGCTGTGTGATGGATGGCAGCAGGG